CTAATGCACACGGTGGGGCCCACCGTCTTTTCCTCCGCCAGCGGTTCCCCGAACAATTGCGCTACCCATTGGAAAAACCTCAGCACTTGCCCACACCGCTGAGAGTCCCGCGGACCGACGAATAAAAAATCGTCCAAATAGTGCACCACTGCACCACCCGCCGATTACCTGCGCACCACCCATTCTAGAAACGTACTAAACTTTTCGAAGTAGGCGCATGATACGGAACAGCCCATGGGCAGGCATAAATCCATGAAAAACCCACCATCGAAATAACATCCCAGCAAGTGATGACAGTCTGTATGTATGGGAAGCAGCCTAAAAGCTGCCTCCACATCAACCTTTGCCATCAGCGCCCCGTGCCCTGCCCTCCGAACCAACTCGACTGCCTTGTCTAATGATGTATAGGAGACTGAGCACAGGTCCGCGTCGATGTCATCATTCACCGAAGCCCCTCTCGGGTGTGACAAGTGATGAATCAAACGGAATTTGCCCGCCTCCTTCTTGGGGACCACCCCCAGTGGAGACACCCGTAAATCTGACACAGGCGAGGCCAACAACGGCCCTGCCATCCTACCCAATTGGACTTCCTTAGTCAACTTCTCCCTCACCACCCCTGGATGCTCCTTAGCCGACTTGAGATTCAAACTTATCCCCCCGGTCCCTTTGCTTTAAAGGGGATCCTAAAGCCTTCCCTGAAACCCTTCCATAAAAACTCGGCAGCGTCTTGATCAGCCTTAGCCATGGCAACATCGGGCCGACCCTCACCGGCGACAACCCCAGCGGAAGCTGCGGGGGCCACGGCCCCCGATGCTCCCCCTCCCACGTTAGGCTTACCCTTCTTGAAGCATCTATTGGCACCATGATTCCCCACGCAACCTGAACATTCGTGCCTGAATCTACGCGCAGCTCTCCACTTGCAATGTCCCTCATTATATGCCCATCAAAAATCTTTCTTCTGTCCAGCCGACACTGCACCCCCGGAGGCCGCGCCGGCTGCCCCTGGAAAGGGCGTGTTTTTCTGCGCCATCATTATCCGCATCCATAGCGGCAGGTCCATTTGGTCCCAGCGCATGGATGGATTCGCCACCAGTCGCTGACGAAACTGTTCGTCATACTTCCACCAGGCTAGTCCCCCGTACGTCCGGTACGCATCCCCTATACCGTCGAGGTAGCAGAAAAGCTGCGAACAGCAGTCTTGGCGCTTTTCACCATTAACGCTCGCCAGTATGCAAAACGCCCTAAGCCAGTTCCCGAAGGACTTTGGTATCTTACGATACCTGCGCCTCTTCTCCTCCTCCTCTTTCTTAGCATCTTTCTTATCCTCTTCCTTCAAATCCAGAAATTTCTCCAAGGGAAGAAGTGAAAATAAATTCCCCTTTCCAGAGTTTCTCCATTACCTCAACCTTCAAGTGACAACCCAAGGGGCCCGCGAAAGACACGTGCACATTTTGTCGCGCTGCCTCTGAGATGTCACCGTGCCCCATGGTTTTCTCCCCTACCCTCTCCAGCATCTCCACCGATGTAGAAGCGCTTCCCGACTCCCCGCCACTAGTTCTCCGTGCGAACGGCTCCACTCTCCCGGCTTCTGCCCCCTTGTCACCCCCTGATGCCCTCCGCTGACCAAGATTCCAAAAACGATTTCAAACAGCTTATGAAGGTTCCTGAATGTAGTGCAGTTGTGGACTCACCGCTGTTGCCCCTGGCTGCTTCAGGCCGTGGGGTTGCTGTCCTTCCGTCTGCCTTGCTAGGCCCCAGAGCATCCAGACGCCGCCGGCTCCTGCCTGCCTGATCCCGCCGCGGGACCGCCGGTTTATTACTCCGCGACCTGTAAGGAGAAGATAACCTGGGCAGTCTGCCGGATAAGCCCCCTGCCCGCCCTTCCTCCCTACGCTCTTCACTTTCTCCCCGCGCTCCTCTCCTCTCTGCCGTCCGACTGCCCCTGCTGTCTGCTCTGCTCCGCCGCTCCTGGCAACTCCATTCAGAGGAACCTGATGCGCTGCGCCGACTATACCTCCCACTTTCTTCGGACCTGGACCTCCTCCTCTCCTCTCTGCAACTGGACCTAGACTCGCTGCGCCCATAGTGTGAACGGCTTCCCAGCCTCCCTGCCATGCTCCTGTCGCCGCTGTGCCTGGCGCTAGCCCTGTGCCGCTCTTCTCTCCGTTCTCTCCATGGACCGATACCGCTGGCTTGCTGACCCTGGGAGCTGCCCGACGGGCCCTCCTGCACATCTCTGAAACCCCCGGCCCGTGGTGGCCCCTGTAACTCCCCGCTGACCTCTATGCCTGGCTTTCCAGTAGCCGCCCTGCTTGGCCCCACGCTGACCTCTGCTGCCTGGTCACTCAAGCATTCCACGCCTCCTGTCGCTCCTTGTCGGCCCTGGCTGACCCTGCTGCACTCCTCCACCCTCATTCCTTTGCTGCAGCTGTCCCTGGCCCCAATCTTGGCCGCCCCTTGTGACCTCCCGCTGTCCCGGTCACCCCCAGCCATCTGGGGGACCGCCTGTGCAGAGGAGCCAGCAGCACTATCACCCCTCTGACTGACAGTGGCCCCCCTGCAGTTCGACTCACCCACACCGGCGGTGCTGTGCCTCGGGGCCACGTGGCCGCCCTCTGTCCTGGCCGCCTTCCCAGCCGTGCCGCAAGCCGACGATGCTCCCGCCTTCCTGCCGGCCGTCCATGTGCGGGGCGCTTTCCTCATTCGCAGCCCCTGTTTGCGGCCGTCCTCGCCTGACCAGCCGCCTTGCTTGACGGCGCCAGCCGCACTCTGGGTACCTCCGCCATTCTGCCTCCCGAACCTGCCGCCTCCCTCTCTCCCACTGAAGGGCTCCTCCTCCACTGGGAAGCAGGCGCTACACCCGGGCTCAGCTGCTGGGGTGGCCTTGTCCTCCGCACTGGGGGGTGACAGCCGTTCCCAGCTGTCCGTGAAGCCACGCTAGGCCCCTGTCTCTCACCGCTGCCCGAACTCCGACAAAAAGAAGAACTCCACGGACCTGTAACAATTAACAGGTGAGTGAAGCTCAGATTAAAATGGCCACTCACTGAGATGGCCGCTATTTAACTGTCCTTAGACCACCCCCACGCTGCATTACCCTAAACCCACCCCTTTTCCCTGCCCACTCTCTGGCCCTGTCAAGGCCCACTCCTCCACTGCGCTGTTCTGTGGGCTCACAGATAACTCTCTGGTCTCTAGGTCATATGCATGTTGCTTTCCACCTTGAAATTAGAACTTTGCTTAGCTCAGTGGTGTATTTTGGATTTTAAATTTGACCCCCCAATTTGTGTCAAGGCCACTTTTTTGACTGACAGACACATGCCCTCATTGATACATGTACTGATATACACTCACTGACAGATACACAGTCATTGGCACACACATACAGTCATAAGCACACACTGTTTTACCAACACACACTTTCACTGACAGACACACACTGATACACCCACTCACTGACAGGCACACACTCTCAGATACACATAAAATGACAGAAACACACTGACACACAGGCACACCTATTCTCACTGAAAGACACATACACTCACACATACACACACTTTCACTCACTCACAGCCACACAGATGGACAGCCCCAGAACACAAGGCAAGCAAGGCATTTGTCTGGGAGCTTGGGGTGGCATTTCCCCCCCCCCTGCCCCCGAAAAGTGCCGCCCTAGGCAAATGCCTTGTTTGCCTGGTGGCTTAGCTATATGTGCTATTTAGTGCTTCTCAGTACCCACATGCAGGGGTTTAAAATCACAATATAGACACCCAAACCACTTCATCTCAAGGAAGTGGTCTGGGTGCCATGCCCTCCTCCTTCTAACCATGCAATCAGGGCATTCGGCAGGAATCAGGGCCGGAAAGGCTCACCGAGATACTGGGAAATTTCCTAGTGAGCCACAACACTTTGGACCGGGGAAAAACTGGAGAGCCCTATTACCTATAACTAATACCATTTGGTAAGTTTTCCCTGAGACTGTGAGAGTCTGAGGGAATAATGGAGGGATGAGTTTGGTGCCGGTGCAGCTGCATCGAGGATGGGGCGGCCAGAGGGAGCACTGCAGGGAGGGAGCTTAATGTCACTCAAGCTCTGCCTCCGGTTGCAAGCTCTGCCCCCGTTCACAAGCTCCACCCCTGACTGCAAGTTTTGCCCTGTGTGTGTGCCTGCTGTTGTGAGCATGTGTCTTTTAGTGAGCTTGTTTGCAGTAAACATGTATGTAAGTGAGCCTGTCTGTAGTGAGCATGTATGTGTCAGTGAGCATGTTTGCAGTAAGCATGTATGGTTGTGTCAGTGAACATGTCTGTAGTAAGCATGTATGTGTGTCAGTGATCATGTCTGCAGTAAGCATGTATGTGTCAGTGAGCATGTCTGTAGTAAGCATGTATGTGTCAGTGAGCATGTCTGTAGTGAGCATGTATGTGTGTGTCAGTGAGCATGTCTGTAGTAAGTATGTATGTGTGTGTCAATAAGCACATCTGTAGTAAACATGTATGTGTGTCAGTGAGAAAGTCTGTAGTGAATATGCATATGTGTGTCAGTGAGCATGTCTGTAGTAAGCATATATGTGTGGTCAGTGAGCACATCTGTAGTGAGCATGTATGTGTGTCAGTGAGCATGTCTGTAGTAATGATGTATGTGTGTCAGTGAGCATGTCTGTTGTGAGCATGTATGTGCGTGTCAGTGAGACGTCTGTAGTGAGCATGTATGTGTAAAAAACAATAAATTAGAATGGCCAAATAATTAAAAAATAAATGTTATTACATTAAGGAAACTCTAAACAATGCAGTACGTATGCAGCAACCCACAAGGAGACCTGATAGAATATCCCCAAAAATAAAAAAAATAAAAAAATGTGGGTGCGTAATCTCTCTTTAGAAGATAAGTCTTAATGAGTTAAAAAACATAAGCAAAAAAACAAAACTAGTGCAATATAGCCAGATAACAATATATCTAAAATAGGTGCTCTTAAGAATTGCACTCACAATTGTTGTTATAGTACTGTATAGTACTGTACACTGTATAGTTACATAGTTACATAGTAACTATACAGTGTACAGTACTATACAGTACTATAACAACAATTGTGAGTGCAATTCTTAAGAGCACCTATAGTACTATTGCTTCATAATGACCATAGATTTGAGATATCATTGCTCCTTTTATTGCAAATTATCTTAGATGAAGTAAAAATTTTTGCCATTAATGCTCATCATTTTACAGTCACTTCCAACACTATTTATAAATAAACAAATCCTCCTTTCCAGGTAACTAATGCAAAATACTATTTTTGTGACAATTCCTAGTCTGTTTATAAGAAAAATAACACACCATATATGGTATGATATAGCATATGTCATATACCATGTCTCCAGATAAATATACCCTATTAGTTTTAAAAATGAAAACATGATGCCACCTTTTAATTATTAAGGAGAATTCTTGTATTAAATCTGAGCCATTTGGCACCTTCAGTTTAAAGCAACAAGAAAATATCTGATAAATAATTTGTATTGTTCACATTTCATTTACTGAACTGCTTCACTATTCGTACGATGTATATAAATTATCAAAGGTACAGAGTATCTCTATACCTAAGAACACCTTTAAAAAAATCAAGTATTCCTATTTATGTTTCCAGGTGATAAGAGTTCCATCCAATCATTCTTTCTGCACTAGTTCTCCAGGGTGCTGCTATTATATGCATTTGACAATGACATGTGGTGATTCCACAAAGGCACATAACATTGCATTGCCAAAAAGTGTTGTCACTGATTCAGGTTAAGAACAAGTAGTCTGCAGGGCAGCCAGTTGTCTACTCAAATGAATTACTCTCACCATCTATCAACTTTAATCCTGTACACGTGCTGCAAGATTGCACAAAAGTCCTTCTTTTTCTAGCCTATCACTGGATCTATATAACACAAATATATAGTGTTGATTATATTTTTCATGACATTTTCCTAGCATTATATTAGTTGATAATGCCAGGAAAATACTTCCAAGTTTCTTCAGTTTTAAAGGGACACTATAGTCACAGAACAACTACAGCTTATTGAATTTGTTCTGGTGAGTAGAATCATTACCTTCAGGCTATTTGCCGTAAACACTGTCTTTTCATTGAAAATTCAGCTGTTTACATTACAGTGAAAATTCTGTGTTTATTAGTGTTAACTTCACTGGCCACTCCTCAGATGTCTGTTAGAGATTATTCCTGGGTCATAGCTGCCTAAAATGCATCCAAACATTCAGCATGCAGACACTGAACTTTCCTCATAGAGATTCATTGATTTAATTAATTTCTATGAGGAGATACTGATTGGCCAGGGCTGTGTTTGAAAACAGTGACAAAGTAAGCAGCTGCAGACTTGAATACAAGTAATATGTTACTATATTTAGGGAGGCATGATGGGGCCAGGGG